CAACATACAACGTCCATGATTGAACTTCATTGATTGTCTCGATTGCCGGAGTAAATTCGGCAATAAAGTCGGATAAAGCTTGAGCTTTTATTGCAGTTCTCGGTTTGTACTGAATATCATATTGACCGAGTTCTATGGCCCATTTGGTTAGTCTTCCCGATGTATCAGGTCGGTGTAAGATCGACTTTAAGGGATAAGAAGTAAGTATCGTTATTGAGTGCTCTTGAAAATAAGGACGTAACTTTCGAGCAGCGATAACGAGGGCATATGCCAACTTTTCCATCGCCGGGTATCGTAATTCAGCTTCATGTAAGGCTTTACTAATATAGTAGATTGGATATTGTTGACGTCCTTCTTCACGAATAAGAACAGCACTAATTGCAGAATCACTTACCCCCAAATATAGGTATAGCATCTCTTCGGGAATCGGTTTCTGTAAAGTCGGGATTTGAAGGAGTGTTTCTTTTATTTTATCCAGAGCTAGTTGACATTCTTCTGTCCATTCGAAGCATTTTCCCTTCTTTATAGACTCGAAGAAGGGTTTGCATCGATCTGTTGATTTGGATAGAAACCGACTTAAGGCAGCAAGTCGGCCGGTAAGGGCTTGAACTCCTTTTACCGATGTGGGAGGCGAGAGATCCATGATTGCCTTTATTTTCACTGGGTTGGCTTCAATACCCCGTTGAGTGACAATATATCCCAAAAATTTTCCAGAACCGACTCCGAAAGTGCATTTCTTTGGATTAAGCACCATTGAATATTCTCTCAAGATGTTGAACATTTCTTGTAAGTGATCAATGTGATCGGCCGCGTGAACCGACTTGACCAGCATGTCATCCACGTAAACTTCCATGGTATGTCCGATGAGTTTGGCGAACATTTTATTAACCAGCCTTTGATACGTGGCCCCAGCGTTTTTAAGACCGAACGGCATCATAGTATAGCAATATAATCCTCGGGCTGAATAAAAAGAAGTATGTTCTGCCTCTTCAGGATCCATAGGAATCTGGTTGTAACCCGAGTAAGCATCCATGAAGCTCATTAATTCATGTCCAGCTGTGGCATCCACCATGTAATCAATATGTGGTAAAGGGTAACTGTCTTTGGGACAGGCTTTATTTAAGTCGGTAAAATCAATACAAAGTCGCCATGCACCAGAACTCTTTTTTACGAGAACAGGATTTGACACCCAAGTCGGGTATTTGGTCTCTTGAATGAATTTGTTGTCAACCAGTTTTTGAACTTCTTCTTCGAGAGCTTTCTGTCGATCAGGACCGAGTTTGCGTCTTTTTTGGACCACTGGTTTAATTGTTGGATCTAAGTTGAGTCGATGAGAAGCGACCTTTGGATCAATTCCTTTCATATCTTCGTGTTTCCAGGCAAATACGTCGGAATTAGCTTTGAGGAATTGAATGAGCCGAGTTCGTATTGGTTCTTGAAGATTGGCCCCAATTTGCACCGACTTTTGACAAACTGGGTCATCGATGCATATTATCTCGACCTCTTCTGATGGTTCGGCTCGTTCAAGTTTGCTTTTCTCCTTAAATTGAATTCGCGGATCAAGCGCATCTTCTTCTCTAATTGGCTCTTTTCCCGGACGTCTCCCACGATCGCAAATCAAATCGTTGTTTAGTTTCACAGGATCAAGTTCCATCTCGGGATTGCATGATTCCGAGTTGATGAATGTTGAAGGATTTTCTTGACTTTCTTCGATTTCTTCCATCATGTGTACGGGCATACAGGGCTCATGCCAGGGTTTAACCCATACCATTCCGCGAGCTTCGTATTGGTCTCCATAATGAGCTCCTTCTCCATTATTAGTAGGAAATTTCAGAGCATAATGAAATATTGATACGGCGGCACGAAGCTTGTATAATGCAGTCCGTCCAATGATGGCATTATATTGATTTTTAAGATCCATCACCTTGAATGTCTCCATAATAACTTTAGAAGCTTGTCCAGGGATTCCGAACCGAATTGGCATAGTGATTTCGCCAAGGGTTGTCGTTATGGTTCCATTAAAGCCTTGTACTTGATCCTTACAGGGCTTTAGCTCGGCTGGATCGATTCCCATTTGTTCAAATGTACGTAACATCATGATACTTGAATATGCTCCGGTGTCCACCAACATACGGTGTATCGGTATTCCACAAATAGGCGCCGTGATTATTAAGGGATCAGCATGAGGGTGAGCAAAATAACTCGCATCATCAACATTGAATGTGATTGGGCAATTGTTCCGAGCATTAATTTTATCTCGGAGGTCGGTAGTTAAAACTGTTTTTCCCGAGTTAAAAGCTTTTCGAGCATATGCTTTTATTTGCCTTCGTGATTCCAACGTTGCATTACTGCTATTGTTGACCCGAGGTACATGGTGTGAATTGTCTGGATTATAGTATCCTCCCCGGTACATCATTTCAGTTGAATCTTCTTCCCTTTGATTCGTCATGTATATCTCTTTCTCATTTGATCTCACCCGTTTTGGATTAATTGGACGCTCTTCATCGTCTTCATCATCTGGTAAATCAGGCATTCTTCCTTTTCGTTTGTAATCAACATTCTTGGCAAATCTTTGGACTTGAGGGTGTCCAATAAGTCGCAGCAGGGCAGAAAGTAAACCGAGACATTCATCAGTATTATGGCCTGCCGACTTATGATATGAACAATATCTCGTTTTATCAAGTTTTTCTTCGGGTGTTCTGACAGGTCGTGGATCAGGAAGAATTCCTTTCCCTTTTAATTCTTCAAATATTGTTGCTGCTCCTGCCGAGAATACCGTCTGGTAGCTGGATTTAACTTCATTAAGATATTTAGTTCTGGCTTCTTGCACTTCGGGGATTTTCGGATTTCCAAATCGAGACTTATTTGGCTTGAAAAATTTATTTTTCTTCTTTTTTGACTCTTGCCCGACTTCCGACTTCAACGAGGAAAAGTCGATATTAGGAACCGACATTGATTCTTCGGCCAGAATATGCTGTTGAGCCCGAGCTAGAAAGTCTTGAAATGAAGTCGATTTATTTTGACATATACTCCATCGGAACAACGAGTTTGGCTTCAATCCGGCTATGGCTGTGACCAATAGCGTTTCGGGATGGCATTGCTCCATATTTTGTATGCGTTCGTTGAACCGAGTAATGTAATCTTTCACGCTTTCATCATCTTTTTGTACAATATTTGCAATTGACTCTTTGGGGATTAAAGATACTCGGGCCCCGATAAAATGGGAGCGAAAAGCCGTTCTCAACTGCTGCCATGTGGAGATTGAATACCGAGATAGAGAATGATACCATTTTTGAGCTCGTGGTCCCAAGGTTAAAGAAAACATCCGACATCTGAGTGCTTCATTCGCTCCGTGAAGGTCCATCCAAGATGTGTACTGACCAAGATGAGCATCAGGATCGGAAGTTCCATCATATAAGCCGATTTGCGGAACTTTCACTTTAGTTGGGATAGGCTCTCTAGTCAGATGAGGAGCTAAAGGAGTTCCAACCTCTTGATACGTCTCTTCTACGATTGGAGTTCGTCGTGGTGGTCCTCCATGTTCGCCTTGGCAAGTCTCCAGCTCAGCAATTCTTTTTCTCAACATTTCTAACTCTTCCGATTCACGTCTTTGGCGATTTCTTTCAATCAAGCGACGTAATTCATTTTGCCCACGACGAGCATGGGTTTGTTCGAGAGTGTGTCGTAAATCAGAAGGTTGATCATGTCGTGATAGTTCGGGTAACGATGGAGTAGACTGTCGTGGTCGATGTCCAGAATGGCTTTCTGCAGTTGCTTCTGATCGCGCTGGTTCTGGCACTCGAGTTTGTACTGGAACTACTCCACGATTTTGAGTCGTTGCATCATGTTGTGATTCATGTGTACGTGGGTGGGAAGTTGCATGTGATGTTGTAGGAATATTATTTCTTCGTGGAACTGGAGTTGAGCGAGTTTGAGGGTTAGCCGTTGCGGCTGGTTCTATCCTTGTTCGTGCCATAAAATCAGTTAGATTTTTCAAGAACTCTGGATCTTGAAATAGGACTGAATAATCAATTGATGTAGATGGCACGGCAGAAGTTCCGGTTGTATGAGTTGGATGACGATTGATCCCAGGGTCAGGATTTCGTTCATTTCGTCCAGAATTTGACATCCTTTGTGTGTGTTATTACAAGACTAACGATTGAACAGGGAGAAGGTTCAAGCGTGCCCTCCTTCTAGCGCCAAACTGTTGCTGTCTTGAATTAACAACTTAGAATTAAGTACAGTTGATGTCAAGAAAATGAGGATAAATTTTTATTTAAGTTTTATTGATTTTGCTCACAAGAGTACAGAAGTCGGTTTTAAGCTAAAAACCGAGTTTGTCTTAAGTGCGTGTACAATGTGTTTGAGAAAAGATCAGACCCTCGTACTATCATAAATTCTGCTATTTATAGTACGGTGGCTTTTGTCTCCTTCCTCGAAATGGATAGAGATGCATTTAATATTGAGCTGCTTTGTTTTGAGGCGGCGGGAAACATCAATGATTGCCTTTTTGTTTCGTTGGTCCAATCAGATGCTTCTAATGATTACTTTTTGTTTGGAATGCTCAATCTTTATGGTAGTCGGTTGACTTGAAGTCGGTTTTACTCACGCTGATTTCAGATGTCGGTTTTGATCCTTTTGAAGGTTTTGTCGGAAGTTGGACCTTTCGGAAATCGGCAATTCTTTAAGAAGTCGGTAATTTGCTCTAATATATTCCGACTTGCGATACTTTAATTCTGATTACTGAATTTGATATCAACATATATATTTCTGTATAAATTTTTACTATTTTAATAGCATTCACATCAAAAGCAATTATACTTCTTTACATTACATTCCTTTAAACTAGGAAAGAATCATTAATTCTTATAAATTTTATATGACCAATAAAAATATATTCAATTGTACCCTAATTATTCTCAATAAAAATTTTATCTATCCATATCTATTTGTATCATTAATTTAATTTTTTATACATACAAAACACACACACACACACACTTAAATACACATGGTCTCGCCGTCTCTCTCTCTCGACACATACACAAACACAAACGCAGAGGCAAAAATAGGCTCACTCTGTGTTTACTTTGTGTGTATCTCAGTTGGGCGAGTCTCCTGCGTTTCTTCTAAAACCCTAATCATCAAATTCTCAAATGGAAGCGTGAGCTGCTTTTTTTTTTAAATCATTTTTATCTGTCTCTGTTACTGGAGTTAAATCCGTAGCTATGGAGAGATCCGACGTGAAGGATTTCAATGACTTCATCAGCGCCTCTACCAGCTCAGCTTCTGGTCCGCAGCCCTCTACTCTTAACCCACTTTTGTTCCTTTTCTCTTTTTATTTTTACGATTTTGATTTGTGGGGTGATTTTTTTCTTTAGTTATTTTTTCTTGGTTTTTGAGTTTTCCAGTGTTTATCTGTGTTCTTGTTTTTGTCTTCTTGGAAAGGAAAAAGATAATGATGGGTTTTATTTCTTTGAGGGTGTTGTGGGTTCGGATGACTGTTATATGTGGGGTATGAATTGGGTTTTCTTCTTTCTTTTTTCTACTTTAAAAGTATTTATTATACTCTGGTTGCAGGTGGGGAGATGTTTGATGCATCCCAGTATGCGTTTTTTGGAAAGGATGTCACGGGTGAAGAGGAATTAGGGGGTTTGGAGGATGAAGTGGTTGATTTTCTTCAAACTGGGGAAGAGTTGAATGAGTATCATTTGTTTGAGAAAGATGAGGTGAGCTTGTAGAAAGTACATTGCTTGACTGTTATGGAATTTCATGTTGTTTGATAGTCTTCAAAGCTTACCTGGGTTCTTTAAAATCCATTAAGTTGAGCTGTTTTTGAAAATATGGGGAGTTATTAATTGTTACTGTTTTCTCTCCCATTGATCAAGTTGCATCATTGGAATTTCAAAGACTCATATATCAACACCAACTTTTGTCAATATTTATATATGGAAGAATATGTGATGGAAGTATGGAACTGGTATCTTGTGCGTGTTATATGCAATGATTGCTTGACTGCCTGCAAACAATTGATCATATTGACATTTGGAGTTCCTATAATATTTTCCTAGTTTATAATCAAACATTTTTATTTCTTAAACAGATTTCTTGATTTAGTTGGATGAAATTCAAGTTCGTGGAGTAAATGAATCTTATAAGCTCCTTGTACCTCGTCTTTGATATATGGAAATTCGTATCACTAATTTTTTGCTAAACTCTTAGAAGCATAATACAAACAAAATATAGCAGTTTTTGAACTTCTTGTTATACAGAGTTGCTTAAAATAGCCTTAAAGTTGGTGGCAGACCATTCATTCATGATTTAGTTTTCAGTTTGTGAATGCACTTGATGCAATTGTGGTGACATATTCGTTTGGATGTCTGAAAGAGCTGCTAGAGCTTCGAGATGTACCAACATTTGATTATATAATTTGGCATGTGTAGTTCACTTTCATGTAAGGATGATATTGTCTTTGTGTTTAAACTGTATTTCGCAATTGTTTGATGGTGAGAATCTTTTTCATTGCTGGTGTCTTTATACGTATTTCACATAGATCTACAGGGTGGATTACATGAACTTCTTTTTACCAATCTTCTAATTTAATTTTGCGAGCCTCTTTTTCTTCAACCTAATTATTTCAGTATATATAATTTTTCTTTCTTTCCCAGGGCTCAGGATTAGGATCATTGACTGAGTTAGATGATTTGGCCACTACATTTTCAAAGGTGAGTTGCTTTTCTACCTAAATTTCTATTGAATTTTGACCTCCAATGAGCCTAGATTTGCATGTTGAATAGATTAGTCCTTGAGCTGTAGTTTCGTATTGTGATATAGGCTGATCCATCTGGACTTATATACTTCGAGTATCTTTCTCCTTTAACTAATCACTTATCAGTGTTGCTGACATAAAATGATTCTTGCATGCTTTATGAAGTGCATCTGCTGTGTCACTTAAAAGGAAGAGGTCTAGTGGGTTATACAGATGCACTCTCGGAAATATACTCCTTTGTGCAATCTCCCATGATTTTTCATCTTGCTTTATTGACAGTATGATGAAAATTTACATCATACATGTCTAAATACGCACAAATATCCGGTTTTAGCCACTGGACGCAATAAATGGCCTTAGTATATGTCTGTTTCAGTCTCTTGGATGTGAATCTTGGCTATACAGATTAATCCTTGAAGATAGCTTTATGTTGTTCGTAAACAGAATCCCAAATAACAGTTAAATTTTGAAAGGCTCTGCTGCTGATGAAAAATCTTCCTAAATAACATTTTCTCTGCAATCTTTTCACTGGCCCTGACTACACAAATAATTCCTGTTTTGTATAATTTAAATTTAAAGCCTCGATCACGTTATTATGTGTTCAATCCTCATGCGGATTTGCATTTGCATTTGTTTTTTGTTTTTTTTTTTTTCCTGCAGTTGAACAAAGTTGTTTCAGGGCCAAGACATCCTGGAATTATTGGCGATCGAGGATCTGGATCATTCTCCAGGGGGAGTGAGTTTTCTCATTACTCTAATTGAAGAATCATAGTTTTTTCATAACACTTAGATTTAGTTCATTCTAAATAGTAAATAATCACATCTGGTGACATCTTTCTTCCATAAAAGTTGATTCCAATTCCAATATTGGAAGGGAAAATGCTACATGTACATAATAAATGTACATAAAGGTGTACATAACACTCACATGGAGTGGGGTCCACTTGATTTTTTATTTTTGGTAGGTCCCACTCAATGTGAGTGTTATGTACACCTCTATGTACAATATTATGTACATATAGCATTTCCCGTATTGGATGTTGTAGGAAAAAAGAATTTGAATCAACTTATTTGGGCACTACATATATAAATCGTGGCATATATTCTTTACTTCTCCTCTCTCTCTCATATTGACCTGATTAGTTCACAATACTTCAGGTTCATCAGCTACAGAATGGACGAGAGATGCAGACTTTCCTGATTGGTTAGACCATCACATCTCCGATTCCGAATGTTACGAAGAAAGCAACAGATGGTCATCACAACCCCATCTCTCATCGATGAATCTTCCGGAACCCAAACCGTTATACCGAACATCGTCATACCCTCAGCAACAGCAACAGTTACCACCCCACTTCTCTACTGACTCGAATCTATACCCAAAGCCTTCTTTCACTTCTTTCCCTCCACCAGGTTCCCAACAAATCTCCCGCAACAATTTGCATCATCTCAACTTCAGTGGGCCACCATCACCTTTCTCCCCACAGAGCAGCTCACCATTTTCGAGCTCCTCTGCCCATTTGCCTGGTTTGCCTCATGGGTATCATTATAGTAACACTAACTTGGCACACCTAATGTCCCCTAATCTATCTCTTCATAACAATTACCTCCAAAACCATGGGATTACTCGGGCCGGTCTCCTCCACGGGGACCACTCAGTCCTCTTAAACAATATCCGGCAGCAACAGTACCAAAACGAGTTGCTATTACCTTCACACCTAACTTCGCCGCAGGTCCCGATGCGCCACCTGTCGTTACAATCATCTTTACCACCCCATTATTCAGCTCTACAGTCTAGAATATTCAACAGTGCCCCTTTACAGGCCCATCGGAATAAATATGATAGGAAAGAGTCGAAACAACACCGATCAACCCAAAAGGGGAAAAATTCCGTGCGGTTCTCGAATTCAGAAGGTAGTGGCAGCAGCAGCAGCAATGTGCCGCAATTTCGATCCAAGTACATGACGGCTGAGGAAATCGATAGCATCCTTAAACTGCAGCAAGCAGCTGCCCACGCAAATGATCCGTATGTGGACGATTACTACCACCAGGCCCGCCTCGCCAAGAAATCGGCCGAGACGAGGTCAAAATTCCGTTTTTGCCCCTCCCACTCCAGGGAACAGTCGGGGTCTCGTTCCCGCAACAATTCGGAGCCGCAGCCACACCTCCGTGTCGATGCTCATGGGCGGGTCTGTTTTTCTTCTGTCCGTAGGCCCGGCCCGCTTCTCAATACCGACCCTCCTCCATCTGCATGTGGGGACAGTGAGCAAAAACCTTCCGGAAAGTCCCTGGAGCAAGAGCCAATGCTCGCGGCTCGTGTGACAATCGAGGATGGTTTTTGCCTCCTTCTCGATGTGGATGACATTGACCGGATTCTTCAGTCCAGTCAGCATCAGGAGGGTGGTGGGGTCCAATCGAGGCGAAAGCGCCATATCCTACTCGAAGGCCTGGCCGCTTCCCTTCAGCTGGTGGACCCGCTTGGGAAAGGGGGAAACTCTGTTGGGCTGTCCCCGAAGGACGATATCGTCTTTTTACGGATTGTCTCTGTTGCCAAGGGTCGTAAGCTCATTTCTAGGTTCCTCCAGCTCCTTCTGCCGGGCAGCGAGCTTGCCCGGATAGTTTGCATGGCTATTTTTCGACACCTTCGATTTCTGTTCGGTGGCCTTCCGGATGATTCCGAGGCTGCTGATACCTTAAATGCCCTGGCCAAAACGGTAGCTGTTTGTGTTGGCGGTATGGACCTTAATGCCCTCAGTGCCTGTCTTGCGGCCGTCGTTTGCTCGTCCGAACAGCCGCCACTTCGCCCTTTCGGGAGTGTGTCCGGAGATGGAGCTTCGGTCATCTTGAAGTCTGTGTTAGAACGAGCAACTCAATTGTTGAATGATCGTCAGTCAACTGTTAACAGTTTCACCGTGGCTAATCCCGCCTTATGGCAGGCTTCGTTCGATGCTTTCTTTGGTCTTCTGACGAAATATTGTGCAAGTAAATATGATAGTATAATGCAGTCGTTGATTACACAAAACCCACAGAATGCAGAGATAGTTGCTGTGGAGAATGCCCGAGCGGCCAGCCGGGAGATGCCGGTCGAGCTGCTGAGAGCCAGTGTCCCGCACACTGATGAGAGCCAAAAGAAGCTGTTAATAAATTTTGCTCGTCGATCGATGTCTGTCACTGGGCTCAACGGCCATGGTGGGAATAGCGGGCAAGCGATAACTGATACAAGTTTGTGACTGGTAAATGCTTTATTCTCGTCATCGTGTGACTCTGTTGGTTCTGTGTGAGGCTCCGTTTGTTGTCTTCTATCTCTTCTGCTGTTGAAGAAGTGCTTACTTTTGTTGCGAATTTTAATATGCTGGGAGCGACTGTGTATAAGAATAACCATTTTACTGTGGAC